TAGTTTCAGATATACAACAAAGTGAATCAGTTTTTTTTTCAGATTATTTTCCATTATAAGTTATTACAAGATATTGAACAGTGTCCCCAAAGTAAACCTTTGTTGCTTATCTATTTTATGTATAGTAGTGTGTATCTGTTAATCCTGTACTACTAATTTATCTCTCCCTTTCCTCTTTGATAATTAACAGTTTGTTTTCTATGTCTGTGAGTCTGTTTCTATTTTGTACATAGATACTTCTGTATTATTTTTTGGATTCCACATATAAGTGATATCCTATAATATTTGTCTTTGTCTGACTTACTTAGTGTGTTAATCTCTAGGTTCATCCGTGTTGCTGCAAATGGCATTATTTCATTTTTTTATGGCTCAGTAGTATCCCAGTCTGTACATGTACCACATCTTGGTTATCCGTTCACCTGTTGATGGACATTTCGGTGGCTTCCATGTCTTGGCTATTGTCAACAGTGCTGCAGCGCACATTGGGGTGCATGCTGCTGCTGCTGCTGAGTCGCTTAAGTCATGTCCGACTCTGTGCGACCCCATAGACGGCAGCCCACCGTCCTGTTCTCTGTCCCTGGGATTCTCCAGGCAAGGATACTGGAGTGGGATGCATTTCCTTCTCCAATTGGAGTGCATGTATCTTTTTAAATTAGAGATTTTGTCTTTTCTGGATACATGCCCAAGAGTGGGATTGCTGGATCATATGGTATCTCTACTTTTAGTTTTTTAGGGAACCTCCCTACTGTTTTCCATAGTGGTTACACCAATTTACATTCCCACCAATAGTTATTTTATACACAATTTATAATGTTATGTTATTTTTCCACATACCATATATATGTATATTATATGTGCGTGTGTGTGTGTGTGTGTATACATATATATATACAACCAGTAACACTGAAGAAGCTGAAGTTGAATGGTTTTATGAAGACCTACAAGACCTTTTAGAACTAACACCCAAAAAAGATGTCCTTTTCATTATAGGGGACTGGAATGCAAAAGTAGGAAGTCAAGAAACACCTGGAGTAACAGGCAAATTTGGCCTTGGAGTAC